TATTTAAATATTTCTCGCTTTCGCTTTTCGGCTCTTCTAATTAGTCCATATTTGGTACATAGCAAAATCTCCCTTGTGTGCGGTTGATAACACGAAAATTAATTGAGCAAACACAGACCCTTACATTAAAACCAAACACACAAAAAAAAAACTTGAAACTAAAACTACGCGTCTCACAGCATCAAACACACATAGAGATTGAGATGAAGCATGCTTTTGCACTGTCCGAAGGCCAGTAGCAACGTGATATGGAGAGAGAGAGAAAAACAGCAACAATAAAAAACGGAAGAAATTTCACCATCCGAAACTATTTTTCACCTTAAAAAAGTGACCGCTGCCTTTTGTTGCTACTATTTTGGCATCATTATAATAAATAGCCTTCATGAATGTATCACGTATGGCGAGAACAGCGAACAGATATGGGTATGAGATGAGAGTTCGTGGTTGTTATGTAGATGCGGTATTTGTTATCTAGCCAAAGGCTTTTTCTTCGATTCAAACTGACCGGGATTGATGCGAATGGTGTGGGTGTGCGGTAGAGAGATTTGCCACACTAAAAAACATTAGGTAAAAACCTATATCTATATAACATATATGTGCTACATCAGCTTATGGGTTCATGGAGTGAAAAAAAATGTTCACAAGTATATTTAATCGTTTGGCACACAAATACATTCTTTGTTCGTTGCGTTTGAAATAAATTCAGTTCGGTTTGTGTAGATGAACACGCGCCCCACACCAATGTATTCAATTTTAGCCATAACTTGAGCGAAGAAATAATCGCGCTCATAAAATGTAAGCGCGGGCGCCCGCTCGTATGAAACCATCATACCTTCATTCGCTAAGCATCGGCGTTTGTATAAATATAAATGTGAATGTGCGTACACAGTCGAAAGGAGATACACGATAATATCACACAATGTGCCATCAAAATCGTTCAATAAATATGTAAAAGAAGAAGAACATCGAACAGAATATTCGGTAGTCATTCCCAGAGGATACGCGATATACGATATTGCTTCACATATTATCAACTGGACTATGATGATGACGACGACGACGACGACGACAACAACAACATAAGCAAACAACTTAACAATGGTGCATAGCAAAAAGGACTCGAAAACCGAACAATTCAACTGAATTTACGCGTTTGCTACACGCCAAGTGTCTCTAGCTTGAATCAAATGAATTGCGATTGTTCGAAGTTCACACAGTTCATCGAATTGTTCAACTTTTGAATTCCATCCAATATTGTCTGTGCTTCGTCTGTGTTTCGTATACGAAATGACCATTAGTTAGAAATCGAAAACGGAACAGTTTCGAACAAAATACGTGCTCATTATTTTCACCCTATTTTTCGCGATGCAAAACCAATCGAACAACATTCAATAAAGTATTCGATCAATTCATTCGGCGAATTTACGGTTGTGACCGTTAGTTAGCCAACGTGAAATACCGAACAATCAGTCGAATGCTAAATTAAATTGAACATAGTTCGCGTGATACAAGTGTACGGAGAGAATATCGCGAGAGGGTGTATATATTGTTGTTGACGGGCAATCTGTACGCCTTTGTCTCTGTTATCAGCGTCTAAACAAACGCTACATTCGAAAATGCTCATACACGAATCGCATCAGCAACATCCATGGTAAGCAAAATAAAGAGATTGAGAGAGAAATATAACACACATAGCACGGAGTATACGGTTCGTGCCGAAAATGGATATTGAGGTAAATCATACATATCGATATGATGCTGCAAACAACATATACAGAAGTAGAAGTAAGTAGTGGACATTAGAAATAGCGGCTCGAAATATGTATTTGCATTATCTTCGCTGATATTCCTATCTCGCTCACTTTCTCTGGTTCGTCGTTTTGCTCGTTTGTTCTCCATTTCGGTACATAGATTCAGGCGTCACGTATGTAACATATCAACTCGCTGCTTTCCAACAATAAATACACACATGAGCGCATCGTTTTTGTGTGCGAGAAATGGAAATTGAGTGTGGGGTAGCAGTAGCAACAACAACACAACACCAATCGAAATGGTAAGACAAACACGCATCAATACATGTACGTGACAGAGACTACGTTAAAAATGACCAAAACAGATAATCTGTTTGTTTAGTTCCATTGAAAATGTACTTCTTTGGCTAAAAGTAAAAATTTATAATCTTCAATTTTTTATGGCTCTTTTTTTGCTTATCCCAATTACAATTTCAATGTTTTATGTTGGTGTTTGTCAAGCATAGCTCCAAAGTGAGCAGGTCATAATAATGGAATCGCCCGTTTTGTTTATTGTAATTTTAGGCACTGTCGAACACTACTAATGACTTCAGTTCAGATGCACGGAGAACGGTTCAAAGTCCATCGTGTGTGTCGTATGTAGTGATATTTGTACCCTACTCAAATTCGAATGCTATGTTGACCAGAGATGCTAAGCCATGATATTATTTAAGAATCAAATGTGTGTATGTGTATATTACCTCGGTTCCACTGCATAATGTTCATATACTACACACTCGATAGCAAAACGACGAAACAGCTAAGGAGAGAGAGTTTTCGTTTTCGCCGTTTTCGTGCCAATCGCAAGTTTACGGTCTTTGTATTCGATAAACGAATCCATTTCGCTATATACTCAAGCACGCAACATCGAATGGAGATATTTTGCATATATGTAAATTCTCCACGCCACACGATTTGCAAGCACAAACGGACGAGCGAGATGACCACTTCTACTTTTTGGGGCGCATATGAGCATCGAATCGAAAAGATTGGTCATCTCGCGAAAAGACACATCAATGCGCACTACATAAAGACATACACTCACATAACCCGAGAAAATTCGGTGAAAATTTTCTTCAAATCAAAGATCTCCGTTCACCATTGACCATTTGAGCAACGGACAGAACATGGCTTCTTCTTGAATTTGCATTCGATTTCAAAATTCGATTCCTTTTTTTAAAGAAATGAAGAAAAATTTGAGAAAAAAAGAATTTTTTTTGAAAGAAAGAAAAATTCGTACTCAAGATTTTCTTTTCTTAACAACATAATTGAAAACGATAATTTTTATCATTTTAAATTTGATTTCGTTAAAAAATTACAAAAAAAATTATGTTTGATTTCAGTATATTTCCATGTTATGTGTCACATTTAGAAAATTGTTTTGACTTGAAATTGAATGCATTTTTTTTGTATAGCAAGGTAGATATAATGCGCTTAATGAGTTTCTTCACTAATTGAAGAGTAAACAAAGTGAAAACACAAATGCATGAAAAAAGAAGTGCATTTTGATCTTTTTATCATATTTTTTTTCTCGCTTTTCTTTACCTTCATAAAGATGCAGGCAAAAAAGAGCTCTTACGCATATACGCACGTAGGAATATTCCATACACGCACATTCACAGTCGTCGTTGTCAAAGCCACCCCGAATGTGATGCTGCCCTTACATATATCGAGTAAATGGTCAACGTCGTCATTTTACCGCGAATTTCAAAGACATTTACATGCCATCGCTGGTGTGTGCGTGTGTGTGTCGATGTGCGTGTTGGTGTGATGACCATATATCGAAATATGTATGTAGTATCGCACCACATATAGTTCGAATGCGGCTAGAAAATTCTCTTAAGATAAGCTTATGTAGTGTGTTCGGACTTGGAAAATCATAAAAAGCAACAATAACAAAACGGTCGAAATAGCGATAGCAGAGCGGCAATAGCAACTATCTTATGTCCATCGAAGGCAAAAACTTAAACGATGAAACTACCATTGAACGTCGTTTGACCATCCGTGTGTGTCGTAGAGGTGAAAGAGAGAAAGAAAATTGATGCATACTCCGTGTGTGCTCGCTTTAACGTCGACAAGACGTGAAATAGCATCGAGAAAAGGAGAAAATAGAGATTGTGTTGTTGGAAAACATAGGAGTGCGATTTCGCATCTCTCTGTATGTTCGCTTGTCCATAACGCGCCGACTACGACGACGACGACGACGATTTCTAAAGGATACTATTTAGAATATTTGTAGTAGCGTCGTATGTGGCGATTTTCTCATAATAAACAAACTTGGTTCGACGAGTAGTGGCCCGAACTGTATGGAATGTTTTCTATTATACATATATCGTTCGCCATCGTCGTTGTTGTTTCCACACTGTGTTTCACATGTTTCACTCTCGTCGATGGTTTCGATTTGTTTCGCGTCTCGCTCGCACACATGACTTTCATACATTTGTGCATATATATAGCACGCATATTCAATGTTGGCCCATATAGTATATAATAATCTTCGGGAATGGACAAAGCAAGAAAGGGATGGAGATGAAATGCATATGTGTGTATTTGTGTTTTTCGTTTTTCCTTTTTCGCCTTTGTTTTCGTAATACGTGTCTCACAGCGGCTGCTTCGGAGCATATATGTAACATCGTTAAGTTTATGCGTGTCGAGTGCTAGAGAAATGGAATTGGCGAAATGGTGATTCTTGAGTACACACGGTGGGCCCCGTACACGATGTATGATCATGTGTGTGTGTGTGTATGTCCATATAGATTGACTGAGAGAGTGAAAAAGAGCGAGAAGGAGTCAGTTTATAATGAAATTCGCTGGTTGTATTTTGTAATAACAGAAAACACATAAGGAACGGCGCAAAACAGCAGCACACAGCATTAGCGACAATACCGAATATCAGCATCGAACCAACTATTTATTCACGTATTATTATTCGAAAAGGACATACATGCATTTGGAGTGTCCGGTAACGCATGTTACTTATCGGAACATCTTTCTCATCACATCTTCGCGATAACCAATTTTTGACTTGGTGAATTTATTCATTTCTTTCTCGCTTTTGACTTTTTGCTCATCAAAACAACATCAATACTGAATCAAATTTGATAGATTTTTTTTTCGGTGTAAATCAATCAACTAAAATAAAATTCATAAAATTAAATCAATTTCAAAATTTTCGTTTAAAAAACATCAATTTAAAACCTAAACCAAATCCATCGGTCCACTGGTGACGAAGATAAAACAGTCGGTTTTTGGTGATCGATTCGTTTGTTGTGAAATGAAAATAAACGCTTATCAGTCAGTAAACGCATGTGATTCAAGACACTGACATACATATATATATATGAAAATCTTTCCGATAAATTCGCGATCGAATGTGCTCGCGCTTGTGTGGAAATATCTATAATAATATAAACTAAGTGTTCATTTAAAAAAGAAACATTGACATTTTTCTCTAAAGAACGTTAAAAAATAATAATACAATAAATCGATCGAGTGAGAGAGTGGAAATAAAAACACATACGCGGTCGAACCATAAAATTGCGTGCATCATCATTTAAGGCGAAAAATAAATAACAACGACAACAATTCAAACAAAGTAAGCGAAACGCTCATTCAAAACATTCAGCAAAACAGAGCACGACAAAAAAAACCGTCATCGGTTTTGCGTGAAGTAAAATTTTTTTCTCTCGCATATCACACAAAACCAATGTATTTTGATCACTTGACGCGATTCTGGTCATTCAGAGTTAGGTTTTCATGATAAAAATAAATTAATTCAATGCAATTCGAGAGATAGCAAGAGATAAGACATACAATAATAAATAATAATCATTTGCGGTTGGTTTTGACGAATAACAGCAACGTTATCAATACAAGAGAGACGCAAGGAGAGCGACAGAGATAAATTACAAAGCCGAACGTGTCGATCTCATTTTAAAAATCAGTTTAAATTATTTTTTTTTCTCCTTCCGAAACAATTACAAGCAGTCAAGTGTGACGACTTCAACTTCATCGTGATCCCGAAAAGCGGCGATTTCATTTGACAAGCACATACAAAAACAAAGGCCAATATTTTTTTTTCGCTCTCGTTCATTACAAGCATCACATTAGCACATGCAAATATCCATTATTGCATTTTCTTTGGCAAAGTCAGTTGCATACGGTGAGACACACATTCGTTCTGTTTGAAGAGAGATTGTACTGAATGTGCTTATGATTGAATAAGCGTCACTGTGTATGTATTTGTTTTGCCTGTATGCGTTTATATTTGTGCGTTACGCGTTTGCATTCAACCACTCATACCTCGGGTACGGACACACCATAAGTTCGGCATTTGTCTTCGTGCGTGCAATATAAATAATAACGTCGTAGCCGTTGTCGTCGTTGTCGTCTCACGTTGTACGAAACAACATCGGGAGTAAGCGAAGGAAGAACACAGTGTATTTGGTTGGGTTCGGATTCGCATTTCACTGTGAGCGTTTGGACGTTTTAGGCAGACGAAAGAGAGAAAGAGAAGAGAAAAAAAAGAAGAAAGAGTGCGACGGAACAACAGCATACGAACCAAAACAATCGTCATTAGTTATTGCTACTACCGCTTATTCCAGTGTGTTGTGCGTTTATAACAATACCATTCGTCTGATCGTCAACGTCGCTCGTGCAGTTTATGTTTTTTTTTTCTCGTTTGTCCGTTTATTCTGCATGTATTTGCTCGTGACGTCGAATATAATAATTTTTTCGGCGGTGCTCATTAACTAGAAAGTGTGTGACGGTGGAACGGGGTTGATGCCAATTTTACACTGCAACATCACTCACACTCAGTGCACACTAGCCAATTTGAACACGCGCTAATTTAGTTCGGCTCTTGACTCGAAATCAAAACGGTTATTTCAATTCGACATTCAAACACAAAAAACCAGTCGAAGCATACAGATCACATCGCACAAAAACAAGGACTTAGTGTATATTTTTAAGAGATACAAATTTGATGTGATCAAAACATTCTTGTTTTTTTCATTTTGTTTAAATAAAAAAAAATAACCAGTGCAAAAAGAAAACAATTTAATTCAAACAAGTTATAATAATTATTAATAGCATATTTCCACACAAAACAAAAAATAACGTGACTTATATTAAAACCGTGCAAGGGAAAAAAGTATCAGTTTGGTGAATATTTGTTTTCTTTTTTTTTTAAATTGATGTTAACTCAATCAGAAGTCATCCAGTGAGAGAAAATTGCTTTCCGTTTTCATCAGAGACGAACATCTATTATGGATTTATACAAAGTGTAAGTACAACAGAAATTTTTTACAAAAAATTCTCCATTAAATTCATTGATTTAGCGATAAACAATTAATTTAACAAGTGTTTTGAGTCATTTTTCGCGGTAATCGTATGACTTTGAATTATCACATAACGGACATCTATTTCGGCGGTTTACTGTGACACGACGTGTCAATTTTTTTTTTGCGTTGCAAAAATTCCATTGAAGGCGATTATATTCTATTATATTCTATTTTTGAAAAAGTTGATGATCAAAATCGTAAAAGTACATTTTTTTCAATTTGAGTTGGAATTTATTCAAATTATTTTTCTGTTTTTTTTTTTTGTAAATACAACAACCATGAAGTATTTTTCTATCGAAAAAAAATCGCATTTCTTCATCCCAATTCTGGTATTAAGCTAGACCTTAACGATGCAGTTTAATCTCTTTTCCAAGTAAATCTCTTATGCCGAAATGCCCACCCGAAAAAAAAGATCATAAAATCATTGATCCGCACATATTTAACATACACGCATCGAGTATATGTTCCCAAAGCAAAGAAGAAAAACCAAAGCAACTAGTGAGAATATGTGTTTTTTTTCCTTTTTCGTTTGTATCGACCACCAAACAAATGTGAATGAAGTACAAACATCCGACCAAAAAAAACGCGCACACACTCACACACCCATTTGGCACATACAAAAAATAGAAAGAGAAAAAGAAAAGCAACAAAAACAACACACACACACATACAAAAAAAAAATAACGAACTCTATTGAATGTGCGCTGCAACAATGCAAAAACTGCATTGGAAATTTCATGAAAATTACATTAGGCGAACGAATGGTGAAACGGAAAAAGTGGCAAATTCCAAGAATTTAAATATATTGTATTCGGTTCGGGGGCAGGTAGAAAAATCTATCGATAAATCTATCAATAGTTTGGCAGAGCATTCGACTAACGACGAAAATGACACCAAAAAGTCGGCCGCAATGAAGATGAGAGAATAGACGAAAATACAAATAATGCAACATCATAAAGTACAACACACATACACACATTTCATTTGCTGGCGTTGCTATTGGCCCATAGAAATGTAATACGAAACAAACATGAACGGTTCGCGATGCATTTTTGTCTCAAGTGAGTTTGCGAACGGTAACAACAGCAAAAAAAAAAATTACAATAGCAACCATTTTAGGTTTGGGCATTAGTTTGCGTGGTGCCGAAAATGTTGAAATTGTCGCATGGAATATGCTTGATAATGATTTAATTGTTGGCGACTCGCACAAGTCGTTAGTGGAAATCACACGACACCGCCGCACATTAAATGAAAGCAACAACAACTATGAAAATTATCACATCGCAAATACCACATAGTTTTAGTCACATTCAATTCTCTCGGCTCTTGGTCCCGAAGAAACTCATTCGAGATGCGAGTGCGAGTAGTGAGGAAAGAACAATAAAACAAAAAGAGACACACACAATCATTTTGACAGAGAGAGAGAGGGGGAGAGAGAGAGGAACAAACGGTGGTTGCTACAATTTCGACGGTGTGCGATTAACCATGTTGGCCGTTCACTCTCTATCTCTGTGTGTATTTCGCTCATTTGTTATTTCTTTCTATTCTTTGGCTATTTCTCTCTTGCCATTTCTCTCTTTCTCTATCTCTTCTTCGTGTCTAATCTTTTTGTTATGTATTTACTTGGTGTGGCTGATGTTTTTGCTTGCTTTTTTTTCCATTTTTCCCCGAAAATCCAGATAATTGCATTCCAAATGCAAGACTCAGGCACAAATAGACAATCGACACACATACACAAAATGTGTAAGATGAACGAAATTACCCATAAATAGGAAAAAAAATAATGGAATAGAAAATCGGTAAAATGTTTGTTAGAAAAAAGGCATAAAGTAAATATCATCAAAATCCGAACGCATACACTTACGCGACCCATTGTCAATATACTTCGATGAAAAAAGACGAAAAAAAACATCCATCGTCGTTTTTACTCTCTCACACACAAACACCGAACGATGACGGTGATAATAAATGGCTCAACGCATACGTGTACACATAGGCCAAAATTAATAGTAAATGTAAATGGCAAACGATGCGAACTATGTTTGCCGAGCATTTCTCTCATTGTTATTTCGTTTTTCGTGTGTTTGTATGATTTTTATTCGGGTGCCTTTTCTATCGCAAACCGCACATTGTAGTTCTGGGTACATTTGTCAGAGTAGTCTACGAAATTACGTACCATCACAAAAGCGGGAATATCATGGACAAACGACCAACGGCTCCTCGCATTATCATAATTCCGTTTATTTATTTTCCATTCTTCGTTGTTTGGTGCGCGTCGTTCGAAGTATTTCTTTTTTCTCACACGATCGACGAATATCAAGCACCCAAAAAGTACACCGTCGGCTATTTGGCTACGCTCATCATCCAACATTATATATCGCACACACAAATAAGCAATATGCTGCAAAAATGCACACGACAAAATACACAGCGAAACTATATTTGAGCGCGCGTTTATTTTCTTTATTGTCGTTTGCGAAGGGCGATTTTTTTTCATAACAAAAAAAGCACACACACACACACAATAACTGAAAAAAAAAAAAACCAGCGAAATATTTTATTCGGGGATTTTTTTTCCTACATTTATTTTTCTTTCTGTGTTGAGCCGATTTTGTTTTTTATTTGTCGTTCGGTTGCTGTTGTATCGCGTTTCGTAATTTGTTTTATGTGGAATCGATTGGCGAGCAAACGAGCGCAGAAAAAAATATGAATGTGTACAGCCTGTTGTTTGCATTCGATGAAGTAGAAAATATACGGTTTTGGCTTTTTCTCTGCATAAATTTTGGCGAGACAAACAAAAAAATAAATGCGAAATCGGTTGAATTGAAGAGGGTTGTGATTTGATATGTGTATCACGCGACTATATGACCAATTCAATTGCATCAAATCGACAGATGAGAGGGTATCGACTATTGCCAATTGGTACCGCACTCTGTGTCCAATTCCAAGCTAATACCTTATAATCGCATAAATTCGATGCGTTTCGAGAATTAATAAAAAACAACAATGTATACCATGACAGTGAATTATATTGACGACTCATCTTTCACCATTGAAAGTGAAATGCGATTTTTCGGCGAAGAATTTCACATTGCAAAATCGTAAAATCCCAAAATGCAATAATAACAGCAAAATCGATTACGGCAACATAGTTAAGACAAAACACATCGTCTGTTAATGTGTCAGCTAATGAATGTATCGGTCGTAGCCACCGTTGTCGTTGAAAAATGTGACCAAATTTCACAAATCGACATAAAGTTTTCATTAAAAATCGATGTGGGTAAGAAAACGGTTTAATGTTGAAAACGTCACGCAAAACATGTGGCCCGAAATCGAATCGGTTTCGTCCAAATATAACGACAGAAGAGGCAATCAAGAGAATAAGAAAAAAAACTGTATATATTTATATGATATTTGTATAGCAACTACAATGAGAAAATTAATGCTAATTGTATGAAATGAACTAACGGCCACCTGTTGAACCGCAATTTTTCTTTTGTACACACCAGTAGCAGTTCAATTTTTATTTAAATGCGTGTATTCGCCTTCTGTGCTTCGGAGCACCCGAAAAAAAACAACACTCACGGAACCGCAATACTTGAACAGTCACAAGACCGAAAGAGAGAGAACGATAGGCTGTGCAAACCAAAATAAAAACCAATCAAATGTTGTAAAATGCAAACGAAGACCTTTGGCTCAATTTCTGTTTATTATTTCGCTGCGTTCGCATTAAACTACAACAATTTATCGACGCACTGCATTTTTTTGCTGCTCTTCATTTTGTCAATTTGTTTTCATTCCGGTCGGTAAAAATATGTCAAAAATATGGCATAAAGGAAATGTTTTTAAGCGAGAATATGTAAATAATATTCCATCATCAGTGACGACGCTGATATACTATGATATTGGAATGGGAAGAAGATGGCAATTAACGAAAAAAAAAACCAACACACAAATATGTGTGCGAGTAAATCGCATGTGGACGTAAACCGAGCTCGATGAAATGGAATGCATCGCGGCTTTAAGATATATATCGAAATCGCACCAGCATTATGTCGTGCCAAGAAATTGCACGCAATCAAAAAAATACAACAATAATATTGTGTATAACTTGTGTGATTCTCTTTAGAATTGCAAATATATTTATGTGTGTGTGGAATGCATTGCATATGGTTAGCGAACGCCGGCGAACAAATTACACCGATTCATCGAACAAAGAATAAGAGAAAAAAAAACCATATTGATGATATTTTCTTGTCAAACAATCGGACGGGTTGTGTTTTTTTTTTGGCTGCGCCAATTCGAATTTAAATTTAATAATAATTACTCGTTTATGTTATTGCTACTGCGTATTGTGCTTTAAGTCTGAGCCACTGTGTGCGTAAATGCGTGCGCGCGCGCGCTCGTTCACCTCTTTCGATCACTCTGCCACAGCAGCGATTGGATAATCATCGAAACGGGCCGCAAAGTGTCGGCTTAATATTATTACCGTTGCCTCAATTGTGCATGTGTGCACTTTTTCTGATCAAATTGCGAATACACACAATTATATGGTTGAAACGCAGAAACACAACAACAACACCGACAAATATAATACAAAACAAATTACAACACAGTAATATTAAACGTGGCAAACAATTCAATTTTTTCGTTAATTCGCTTCCCCGATTATCATTATTATCTGATGTATTTTTTTTCGCTTCTCTTCTTAATCGCATGATATCAAAAAGGAGGGGGAGATGTCTCAAGAATACACACACGTAAACGTAGGAACGATAAAAAAAAGTGTATCGCGCCGAGTCGATCGCCGTCGACGACGATTTTCCGTGTAATTTTGTACTTGCGAAATGTAATCTGAATAATTTCGGTCGATGGAATAAAACAACGCGGTGGCTCAAGCAGTCATCACTAGCCGCATGTCATTAGCCTTATTTTCCAACAT